TGCACACCTCCTACTGGGGATGTGCCCGCAACCCAGGTACATGCCCTTGGCCGGAATCGAACCTGGGACCCTTCAGTCCACAGGCCGACGCTCTGTCCACTGAGCCAAACCGGTCAGTGCCTCCACATACTGATTTTCACTTCCATACCCCTTCCTCACTCATGCACATCTGCAAGGACAGCCAATCACATGCACAAGTCACACACAATGAAAACATTTCCATCTGCTGAAATCACGTCTACTCTCACATACACTTCAAAAAGCCACATGCACATACACTTCTCCAACCCAGACATGGGCCTGGTATGTGCACCCCCTGCTATTTCAACTAACACTTGTGCACCTGGTACCAAGTTTCCAAAACATCCCATCTGTGCAGATGGCAGATAAGAGATTGTTACATCCACACACATAAACCCCAAACAACATATAGGAACAAAACTAATCAGACATTTAAAAATACAGTGAATTTACGGTAACTTAAAACCAACACACATGTGGAACTGTCAGAATTGCCTGAAAGATATCTCCCTTGGCTATAGATGCCCACTGAAACCCTGCAGGAACTGGGGCAGGGGCAGATAGCCCAGTGTGGTAACCCAGAAGGACTTAGCTGCTATCCTAGCCATCCCTTGCCTCCTGCAGGAGGGAACTTAAGCCCTCAGGCATCCCATGTTGGGGGGAGAGAGTGCTTGCATCTGGAAAGGGGATTACACATTTCTGTAGAGTGGAGTGGAGGGAGCAAGAGACCCATCGATGTTTGCTTAGTTTGAATCCCAGCATTGCCACTTTCTACCTATATGACCTTGGCAAGCTACTCAGTCTCACTGTGTTTCAGTTTCCCCATCTATAAAATAAGGAGAAGGTTAGTTCTTACAAAACAGGTTGCTGGGCCTGGTGCATCATAAGAGCAACGTATGTGCTGGTTATTATTCTACTGCTGGGAGTTCCTCAGCCCGGGGGCTTCCACAACGTGTCTGGTTCTCTCATGTACACTGTCCTTACACAGACCTCCACACAGTGGCTAGCTCCCTTCACCAGGCAGCAACAGCTCTCACCAGGATTTCTTCATCCTTCCTCCCCTTTCCTGTTAAGGTGTTTTTAAAAATGTTATTTATTGATTTGAAGGGGGTGGTCATTTGCTGTTCCACTTATCTATTCATTCATGGGTTGCTTTTTGTATGTGCCCTGACCAGGGATCAAACTCGCAGCCTTGGCATACTGCATTGCTGACCACTGCTACCTGGACTGGGAATGAGGGCTTTCCCCGGGCAAGGGCAGGGGTCGCTGCAAGGTTGCAGCCTATTACCTCTTGGTGGGTTTGTTAGGAGTTGGGAAGAGACATGCTTCTCCATTGGTTTGGAAATTTGTCTACCTACCTATCAATCATCTATCTATCTATCAATCATCTATCTATCTCATCTTTCAAGGCCCATAGCTCCGCCACGCCCCTTCCAGTGTGAAATGTTTCCCAAAGAAGAGAGAACCGTTATTCCTCCAAGGCAGAAATGTGAAAAGAACTGTTGCTTCTTCTTTCTTACTCCGACGCAGCCAAAGATTTATCCCTTCAACCCATGACACCTCATTCCCCCTCGAGTCCACTCTGTGCTCAGCGGGCTCCCAGGTGAACTGAAATTCCGAGCTATTCTCATCTGGTTGCCCTGGGAGTTTCAGCGCTCTAGGCACAACCTGTTCCTCCATCCTCCCCGCTCCCTCCCAACCTCCCTCCCTCGCCCTGCTGCGACCTTCTCAGCCCTCCTCCCTCCCCTGCTTAGTGCCCCGCTGCCCCCTCCAGAGAGACGCTAGCTGTCTGGGTACCCAGGAGGGGAGGCGGAGAAAGAGGAGGGGAGAGGGAGGAGGCGGGGAAGCGCGCTCAGGAAGGCCGGGCGCCGCCGCGCAGCCGGGAGGGGCGGCTGAAGGTTGCATCTGCTGGAAGGATGTTTTTGGCTGCTTGGTAACGGGCTGCCAGAAGCCAGAGAAAGGCAGAGAGCTGGGCAGCGGCTTCTTGACGTCAGGACCTAGCGAGGGGATCGCGCCAGCAACACCAGCCCGCCCCACTGTACGCCAGCCGACGGCGGGAGAGGAGCTGGATGCCAGGCTCTGGCGGGGTGTGAGTGGGGCGCGGGAGCGGATCCAGGGGCGCAGCATGCCCCGGGCCCCAGGACCATGGA